GTGTTTCTTAGGGCACACAAGGTGCTCTGCAGCCAGGGTGAGACAACTGTGTTTTGAGTACATGTGGGTGAGACCCAGCTGGGAACTGCCAGATCAACTAACCTGTGCTCTGCCACCCTACTTCAGCCCTTGCTTTGGTGAAAACAGGGAGGGAAATAACTGTGCAGGTTCTCAGTGGGCATAATCCAACCTACCTAACTGCTGGCTATCTCTGCAACAGGCTCTCATCGCCTCCCCACTTCCACTACCTCCTCTGCAGTAAAAAAAAAACCCAAACAAAAATAAAAGTAAAGGCCACGAGCACAGCCTTTACTGGTGGTAGAGGTCTGACTCACCTTGTAGCATCATTTTCACCACATGTAACACAAAAGGAGCAAAGCAAATGCAGGGACAAGCTCTCCTGCTCAACAGCAGATGCTGTTGGTTTGGGTCAGGCATAAAATGAAGTCGCACCATAATCTGGCATCTAAGGCATGTTCTGGTTAACCCCTTCTGTTGCAGAAGCTCAGCCTTGCAGTACGTGATCCTTCAGGTGAAGCCTATAATGCAAAACAGACGATGAAGAACATGCCGGAGGTCTCTGAGAGCAGAAAATGAAAACTGTACAAAGGTTTGCTTGAATCTGCCCTCTCCAGGGCTTTTCATAAGCCAGAGGAGCTTGTGCCTACTCCCTTTTTTATTTTTAATCTCTCAGATGCCAGTGCTGGCTGACTCAGCACACATCATGAACTAATTGTTTGCAAACAGCTGTGTTGTGATTTACTGCTTCACGGGGTGCTATCACCCTGTGCAACTCCTGTCCGGAGAGGTGGGGGTGGTGGGCAGGAGTACCTGCCCTCGAAACCTGGCTTCCTGCAGGCTGGCCACCAGCGTGGGGGAGTACCACAGAAGCAGGGCAATGGGATCATCAAGCAAGCGTGTGGGAAGAAGTGATTTTAGCCTAAGAGCACGCAGGTCCCATGTCAGTGAAGGCAGTCGCTGGGTGCTTCGGTCATACGACCTTCTCCTGCAGGCTGCAGGGTTCCCATTCCAGCACCCAGGAGTTTGTTACCCTAAACGCTCGCTTGCAAGAGTAAAAGGAAGAAAAACAAACAAACAAACCAACCAACCAACCAAAACAAAACAACAAAACCCTTCTGGAAGGGACCCTTAAAAAAAAAATCTGTTCAATCAGAATATTGCTGTTTTATTCCAGATAAAGAGATATTTTAGCAAGGCAGTTGAAAGGGAAGCAACTTGTTATGTTTTATGGCCTCTGTTGCCCCCTCCAGTCCTACATCAGTAGTCAGTGCTGTTTGGAAAACAACAATTCTGGGAAAACCTGCACTAATAATAATGTCTCAGGCTCGTTATTTGCTATACACCTGACACGCGTTGGAAGTGAAAACTGAGGTCAGAATTTCCTTTTTCTGGCACCACCAACTTTCTATTGGAAAAGCAAAGCCTGTTTAGAGGAGACAGCTTTATAGGAGCTGAATTGAACTCACAGAGGAACTTGGAGTCCTCTCAAAACTTTCTGCCATAAGCGTAAAGCGCACCTGTAACCTGGTTTTCTGTAACCTGTGAGCACATGCATGCATGTGTGTAGAAAAAATTTACACTTAAAATTGTAAGCAAGTCCATTTTTCTCTTTGGTGGCAAGCCTGAGGGCACACATGCTGATCAGATGTTTGTTCCTCAGCTGTACCAACCGGAGGGTGCTCCGGCTTCACCGTCCTCGCAGAGCAGGGCTCAGCTACAGAAACAAACCAGCAAACCACTGACTCCACACCTTCTCAAAGCCACGTCACTGTGGTTATAACCAACAAATATTATTATTATTACCTTATTACGTCTGATGTCTACCAATTATTTTTTTCAAGCCAGATAGATGGGGCACCTTTGGTAATTTCATACTGAAGAATGTCACTTTTTGGGGAGGCAATTTTAGAGGCAGAGAGGGAGCCAAGAGCTGGTCACACTCCTCCAATGCGGACAGGGGGGAGCGGGCTGTAGATTTATGCTTGGATAAAGCAGACAAGGGTAATATTTCCTACAGAGATGCCTGCCTTATGTAAGGACACAAATTCAGCACAAGAGTGACACATTTCATTGACCCTCTAATGTCCAAAATAGGTTTTTACACTCAGTTTCTCCAAATAAGTTTTCTAAGTGAAGGCATATTATAGAAAGGAAAAAGCACTTTCCGACCTTCAGGAGCTTTTCTGTGTGCTTCTACCGTTGCCAGATGGACTGCATCGAAACAATCACATCTGTCAGCTGTAGTGCTCTGAAAATGTCTGGGCAAAACCGACAATCCCGTGGTGTCCAGTGCTTGTCCGTCCCATGACGGGGTCTGTAACAGGAGCTGGACAGAAGTGGTTACACCTTTTCAAAGGATTTTGAAATTAAAAGCTACTGTTTTCTCTCTCTGAAATAATAATTAGGGAGACTAGGCACTTGGGCTACAAAGGTGCTTTAAACTGGGAACCAGAAAGACCAGGTGACCAAGGTGGTGGCAAACCAGCGTAACAGGACCGTGCATCCCTGACACGGGGGAGAACGAAGCCTGACCACCACCCACCCCGCCTGCACTCTTCTTCCCCCAAAAGCTTTGGGGTGGCATTTCTTTCCGATTCTCTTTAGGTTGAACTTCACTGTCCCATCTCTTCAAGCCCACTTGCTGGCTTTGCAAGTCTGAGAGACTCCCATTGAGTTTCACATAAGCAGCAGTGACATCCACAGGGGCCCAAAGCTCGATGCTCTCTATCCTCCCTATTGTCCACGAGTAGGGTTCGTGTCAGCTGGTTTTTTGCAATATTAGATGCATGTGGAAATGCAACACATTCCAGCATGGCCCACTGGTAGGATCAGAGAAGGTAGTTTGGAGATGATGAGGTTAAATACATCAAATGCTGGAGCAGTGTGCTTGCTGAAAGCATATTTTAGCATATGAGGTTTTTAACTTGATGCTAGAGGAGAGAGAGGAGGCCAGATTGATGGTTAAGAGAAATGTCATTTTAACTGACAACTGAACAAACAAAGAATTAGTGAGGTAAATCTGGAACTCCAATATACCCAGGGCTTACACTATCATTCCAGAGTAGAACAGTCTACTCAGGAAAAAACAGATTTTCAAGGAGAATTATAGCACTTTTAAAAATGGCCTTTGATGTTTAAAATGCATATAATTAATGTAAAAGTTTTCAAAGATACAGTTGGATTAGTTCTGCTTGGACTGGTTCTCTTGTTCCTGTGATTCTCTATCAATCATGAAAGCAAAAAAAGAAATTAAATAATTCGTGGAGTAAAAATGGTTATCTGCACCAAAATTAGAAATTAACTTTAACCAATTACTTGAATAAGTTTTTTTATTGTAGGCACTGCAGAGTAGGCACTCTGGCACATGCTTAATACACCAAATGTTAATAATTCTGAGCTGCACAAGCACACTGCAGAGTAAGGGAAGTCTCTGAAATCTGCTGTTCCAGTCTTATGGATAAGAGAAGTGTATTTAATCCCTTTTGAAAGGCTGGAGATCTCAAGCTTGTGCAACTTGTCAGTGTAGTAACAGAGTGAGCGTTCAGAATGCAATTTAATAACCACTTTAAACTGGTGCAAGTAGAGGCTGCTGTGCGGAAGGGAAGTCCTGTCTCCTCTTCTGCATGTTAGCGTTAGTACTCGTGCAGTAAATCAGGTGAAAGAACTACCCGAAGCCTTTAGTAGGCTTGTGCCCAAAGCTTAGTAAAACTCTCTGGGGCAAGGGAGCAAGGGCTTGCTTTAGTTTTCAGCTGGATCAGCCCCTGATTTATCCCACCAATCCTCACAACAGCTTCTGACACAGGCTGGGGGAGCAAGAACACAGACAGATCTATGTACCCACGGAGAGATTTGGTCAGCCACGAAGTCCAGGAGTGACCTTCATGCAGATGACACTGACCCACTGGCACCACGGGGAACACTCCCCTGGGACTGGCTGTTCACACTGGCATTGCTTCACTCCTGGGACTGAGATACCGGAGTGCTCCAAGAGCAGATTGGAAAAGGCAGAGCTTTCTGTATATCAACTAAAATAGATATAAAAATATTCTTGGCCTTCTTGTTTGATTAAAAAAAAAAATTACAGTTGTAAAACCTAGTAACTTTTTTTTTTTTTTTAAGTTGAAAACTATGTTTAAACAAGTGTTGCTGTTTAATTCATATGCTGCAAGGATTTCCACTTCTGCCAGAAAATTCCTTAATACACAGTCTTACAGTGATAATCCATTTTTAAAAATAGGTAGCTGAGGCTATTCCCAAGGGGTAGAAGCTTGTGGATTTACAGTGAAAGTGATTCCAGTGTAAGAAAAATGAAACAGATATTCAGGTTCTCCTGATATACACAACAGCGGTGACAACTTCTCCATTAATAAAAGATATGACACAATTAGATTGCTAACCTTTCCGCTTTGGGAGTTTATCAAAAGAGGCCAGGACTTTAAATTAAATGAGAAGAATCAAAGATAAATTTTGCTATTACAGAATTCTTCTATTCTCCACATCTGTCTGAAGCTCTCTTGAGAAAGGCCACCAGTCTCAGATCTAGGTGCAAACTGCCTTGTTAGAAAAGCTTTGATATTATAATAAAAGGTGAATAAATATTGTGGAGGAGCATGTCTGTGAAAGGTATTACAAATGTAAGTAACTGAACTGTGGTAGCACAAATGCTCAGGAAGAATTGAATTGAACAAATGTAGGTTTTGCAGTATCTTTTGGTACACCAGGTACCACATAGTGGGTGCTAAAAGACAGCAGGGCCAGAGCATGTATTATGAGCTGGGACGGGAAAAGAGAGAACAGTTGGCAAATAGAAAAAAAAAAAAAACCTCAAGGACAGCAGGAAAAAAACATGCAAAACAGGCACTTTAAAAGGGAAAGAAAAACTTTGATGTTTTTGCAGTGAGAGAGATGACACAACTTCTACTTGCTTTTAAATAGATTTGAAAACATTACCTATTACAGCCTTTTGATCCATTTTGCAGGGAACATATGGTCGAAGCACTAAGCAAATACAAGTTGAAAGTAGCCTCAGCCTAAAAGGCACATGAAATGCCAGAGGGAAAAAAAAAGAGAGGCAGAAATGAAGAGCTCCCCCAAGTTTAAGTCTTCTGCCATTCGGAGATCCTCACTGGACTGCGCAGAGCCTGTGTCACAGTGAGGATCCTCCGCACATTTGAGGTGAGTAAGCTCTCTGGAGAGCGTCAAAGAAAAACATTTGCCATTATTCTTCTGAATCATCTGCTATCTTGTGCTCAGCTAACCATTTCTTGCGACAAATCGGGCAAATACCAAGGAGCACCCAGTCTAACGGGGAGCCTGGATTCTTCCCAGGCTCCGTACAAGCCCAGCATTGTAAATCCGCAGACACGAGACTACTCCACAGCTCATGCACCCTGAATATTCATCGCAACGAGTAACTCTCCTCCACACATCCCAGAGAAACTCTGGCAAGTATTTGTCTACTAAACATTTGGCCATATGACTACTGCTACGGCAGTAATATGTTACCAGCCAGCCCTTCTTTCAAGGGAAGCAATGTGCAGGAGATGTTGAGAAAGAACTACGAAGACGGGAAAAGAAAACTGAAGGATAGTGTGCAAATATTTAACATGCACTTCTCAAGCACTACCAGGGTATACATAAATGTCCACGTACTACATAGAGGCAGAGTAATCTGGCTTCATCAAGAGCTGGAGTAGAAGGAATAAAAAACGACAAGTCCTGAAGATTTAAGGAAACCAGAAATCTAAGATAACAGTACCACTGGCAAAGAGCAGAGCAGCTTCTTTTCTCTAGACAGGCCTCAGGGCATTTAATTTTTGTGTCGTTCATCTTCAAGGCCAGCCAGCCACAGGCCCCACATCATAAAAATGTGTTCACAAGCTATGTATTTCCCCCTGGGTTTTTGACCAGCACACAGGAAAGGTTCCATTTAAAAATCATTTTATTATTAACATATTTTTTCCCATTTAGCCAAGTGTGGGTCATGTATAAGGAATGTCGGTAAATATTCCATTTGAGGCTTCTTTTTACATATTTCCATTGATAAATAAACTCTGAATTCACATAAAAAAGTTAAACTTAAATAACTAATATATTTTTTGTAACAGGCATACATTGGTAAAATATAAATATTCTTGTACTCAGCCTTTGCTCTAAATAGAGATAACAGTTAGCCACACATCACAGTTATTGACAACTGAAAACAAGAACTCAACTGATTTTCTGGCCTGGACTAAAATAGAGATGGAAACAGAAAATTCACATTTTGACTTTGGGCCAAAAGAGGTTGAGAGGCAGGAAGAGAACAGTTTTATTAACAGCTTTGTTAAAAATAGTCTGCTCCGCCACTGAATTTTAACTTATTCTACATTTGGTAGTTGATACCGTTATAATTTTATGTAACACTCAAGTATCACTAACAAAATATGGCACATCATCCATGAACAATATAACGATGTTTTAAAACTACCAGAGCAAAAATGTAGATGATATGAACAATTTGGTTCTGGCTAGCCATTTTGTCCTCTCAGTCTAACATTAATATATTGCGTCACGTCACTGTTTTGGCCACTTCCCTGCAAAAGACTGGAGTTCCTTACCTGTAGTTCTAAGGTTTTTCAAACTAACCAGTTACCGGGCAGCCCGATACACTGGGTCTCCTCCCCCAGACGTCAGACCCAAATCGGATGGTCAAGGTGCCCTCTCACAGGACTCTGGGAATGATGGTAAAAGGGACGACGGGACTGCTCGCTTCAAGCTCCAGCGCCGTCAGGAAGCATTCCGTGGCGGCATCATCATTGCCTTGAGCCTGCAGCACCTCTCCCAGGCCGTTCCAGACCTCATGGGCCGTGGAGTTCACCTGGACGGCATCTCTGAGGATCTTCTCTGCCAAGCTATAGCGCCCGAGCTGGTGAAGTATCAGAGCCTGCAAGAAGACAGAGGAAAAAGGGTTGAGATTGGCCAGCAGGACTTCCCTGAAGCTCAAATGATGCGTTGCCACAGTGAAATAACCATGGGTAGTTCTTGGGTTCAAAGTATTACAGACTATGTAATACTTTTTTTTTTTTTTAAATAGAAAAGAAACGACCTGAAGCAAGACTGGAGCAGGCTGCTCCACACCAACAAGGAATCAAGTGGCTTTGGATGGGAAGCAAAGACACTGAAATGCGAAAACTGAGTTGAACAACAAAAACTCCACGCGACCACCAAAAATCAGTAAGTACCTGACCTTCTGCGGCAAGCTTCCACGTCTAAAGTCCTACTAAGGTGTGTGCCCTGAAGTGTTTGTATCCTGTCTGCACATCTCAGCACCCAGCTCATGCCTTATAACATCTGAGATCACACACACAGCACTGCTGACTCCCAGGGGTGGCAGTAACAGAACCGAGTGCAGCCTAATGGGCAACAGCCATGGGATTTGATTCAGTCTGTGGAATGGGAAGTGTGCTGGGACTAATATTGCACCAGCGGTGCATAAAGGTCCAGCAGGCAAGGAACCTCCTCAGGAGCTTCCTAGACACAGATTCGTAGTCTTCCTTTGCAGGACGGGATCCAATTCAACACCACACGATCCCAAAGGATGCCCAAACCCCCCGGCATATGGGCTGAATGAGGCAGTGGAAATCTCCACCCACCACATTCAGCAATGTTACTGTGCCAGAAGAGTAATGGAATGACCCAGTAAGAGAGTTTTATTCTGTGATTATAATAAACCTAATGATGTTATGCATTTTTACCTTGGGATTCTGTATCACAAAATGCACATGGACCACAAATCTTTGTTTTCCAGAGAGGCGTCGTGATTACATCCTTACAGAGTCCTTGTGATTTCTCCCCTCCCAGCCCCCACTCCTTGGACTATGATTTATTTTATTTCTCTCCGTACATCTCTCTCTCAAATCCTTATTGACCTAAGCACCAATGATTAGAAAGTACTGAAATTCTACGCAACCCCTGGATTATCTACCATACATGTCTGGAATTCTGCTCACCAGGCTGACTTTCAGCATGGGCAGACTGCTGACTCCACCCTACAGAGCAACACAGCAGACTGTTCTGAAGAACAATATAAAGAACCCTGTATAGTATTGGCAAGTAAATAAATAAATGCAATCAAGGCTAATTTCTATCAGCCTAGCAGATGTTCTCACATAAACGTGCTAGAAGGCTTTTCTAGTTTTGGATTTTTTTTGAGCTGTCAAGTGAGTCAGCATTCCCAGAGTGAGTGCGAAGTACTTTCAATCAAAAAATCAGTTAAGTCTCAGGGTCGGTGTTTTTGCCCTGCAGGAAAGTGATTGTCAGTGACTGATAGGTATCAGATGTGAAACTACAAGAACTGAAGCAAGGAGGTGGAATATATATAAAGGTGGTTTGGCTGCGTGCACCTAACCTAAAATTAAAATGTTCTTACTTTGTGTGACAAGATTCTCTAATTAATTTTTTAAAATACTCCTTTTGTTTTTCTGTGTAGATTTGTATATTTTATACTAATTAAACATGTGAGTTCTTCGAATATTGGTAATACTTCTTTTCCCAAATATGCCAGACTCTTTTCCCTGCTTCCTAAGGATACAAGCTGTTCTTTTCAAGACCAAAGGAAACAACCAAATTTTGCAGACACAAGCCTGTTGATAGGAACAGAAACACTTTATGTCACGTCTGCCCTATTGGAAAAAGGTGTAGCTGAGATTTTTCCAGCTGATGGAACTAGAGCAAATACTAGCTATTTGCCTGCTGTTGCACTTTTCTAAGAATATAAGCTATTTAGCACTAGTGAAGGAACCACTCTTGCATGGGCAATCAGGTTACATCCTGTACCCTCGTCTTGTGACGGCACAGCTTTTTAGAGGGAGAGCCTCCCAACAGTCAGTCTTTCACTGGTGTCTCAGGCTAGGATGGGATGAAGACTCGTGTCTTGGGTAGCAGCAGTGGGGCAGTGAACTTTGCTTCCAAAGAACCAATGGAGAGAAAATTAGACTCATTTAATTCAGAGTATCAAAAGGACGGAGACATTTGGTCACTATAGCTGTGGGCTGAGCTCAAACAAGAGAAAGAAGACATGCTACCCTCTGATTCATTAACTCTCTCAGAACCATGGTCAGATGTCGTATATTGTGAGCGTCCAGTTTGTAGATCTTCTTCCCGGATGAATTCATTAAAATTCTGAGGCACAGAACATTTCCAATTGTTTGCAGTCCTTGTCTGGCTTTGCCCTATTAAGCATTACACTACAGACCACAGGGGGAAGGAGCAGGCATGCCTATCATGCAGCAACATCCTTCAGTGACCTTGCACCACCACCCATCCAAAAAAACTGACCTCCAGTTTACCAGCTGTCAGCATACGTTTGTTCTTTGTACTAAACCCTTCAGGAAACAAACAAAAAAAAAACAACCAAAAACCAAAAAACCCGAAAAGACTCCTAAAACAAAACTCCTCTAAGGATTCCCAGAAATCAATACAAACTATCCTAGACCTTCACTGCGTATTTTCCTTTGCTTCCTACATGGAAACAAAATCTCAAGCTACCAGTTCTGGTCTTTACCTATTTAGCAGCAGATGTACAGACAACATTTATCTGCAGAATAATGTTAGGTCTCTTGCTTTATGGCCACAGATGGGCTTGAGCAACACATCAACTCTGCAGAAACACAGAGGTACCCAAGTGACATATGGCTCACACCTTCAGAATTGGCATGCTGCTTTAAAACCTAAACAGAATGCCTTCTCCCTATATCCTCTTTATAAACAGGTACATAAACTTTTAAAAAAAGGAATATGATAGGGATTTTGGAACCTGAATCAATTAGACAAACTGCTATGTAATAATTGGAGTAAATAAAAAGAAAACATTCTACCAAAGATGGTGAAAACAGTAAGTTCCTGAGGAATTACACAAATCTAAGGCAATCTATTTGTTCTTTGTACATTTTCAAATGCTGCAGTACTTGACAGAGGTGTTTAAGACAAGTGTTGCCATCCTGCTAGGAGAACGCAGCATCTTTCCTGCTATTGCATCTCTTTCATTAGCTCTTTCATCCTGATGACTGATAAACTTAGGACATTTGCTTCTAACACAGTTAAAAGAGCCTCTAATGTGTGTTGGTTTCTTAATTTTGCAGCTCGGTACAGATTTTATTACTTTTCCCCATGCTTGATTTGCTGAAATTAGAAAGCAAAGGGAATCTCTGAAGAAACAAAGACACTTTTTTTGTGCCATCATCACAAGAAGTGAAAGCAGTGCTTCAAGTCTCTGATTGGTTGATATTTATACTGGTCACTTTGAATAATCAACAATACACATAGATTTGTGGAATTCAGATACTTTCTGCTCAAGGAAGGGTCAATAGCCCTTTACAGTGCCCAAGCCATCACGGGGCTCAGAGCAGGGACTTTTCATTTTCAACATCCTGCAGAAATGTCTTTCTAAAAAACAGGATTACTGTGTGCTGCCTGTGACAGGGAGGTACTGTAGTCACTACAAACAAAGTTCTTCACAAGCTTTCCATCACAACAGAACAAAACCCTTTAGGAATTAATAAAAAGGGGGAAAAAGGTGCTTCCAACTTTCTTCTCTGCTGCAGGTTATTTTCAAGATCTTGCCAATTCTTTCCTCATTGTCTGGATTCACAAAGTCTCCCTCTAGTTGGTCCGTGATTTTATATGTGTTTCCTTCCTTGATCATCACCCTTACACTTCATTTCACGTTGCCCCATGTACAAAACTGCTATTCTTTGCTTATTTCACCAAAGCATATGTTCAAAGATTGTTTTTATAATGCTCAGCGCCAAAAAGGGCCCAACCCCTGAGTGAAGGCCCTTACCACTCTTGTCAAAAGAGAAGTAATTTGTCAATACTCAATATCTCCCAGGTACCTACTAAAATACAGCCCAGACAAACAGCTGTTGAGTCTGAATAGATAGAAATATCTTAACATACCATCCAAAACATCTGGCTGAATAACCTTCATTTATACTTACCTTGCATGCGTTAAGGAATGGCAATTATATCTTCTGTATTTTGGATACTGCCTTGGGACTAATCGTGTTTGCTGTTTTAATTACTGCCACATCACAAGAATTATGAGAGTGAGGATACAATTAGCTAAGAAAAAGTTAAGAGAATACGTTACAGAAAGCAACAGGTGGATAGATCATGAGAACTAGGATAACAGAAATATGGAAAAAGTCGGTAAAACAAATTTGAAAATAACACAACAGTAGCACGGAAGTTCTGCGGCACGGTGGAAGCCTGTCAGCCAAGCAGCCTGGGGAAAGACTTGGGTATATCAGGCAACCACAGGATGACAGTGTGAAAAGGCGCCAGTGTGAAAGAGGAAAACTCAGCTGACATCGGGAGAGGTTTCCACTAGAGAGAAAGACAACAGAGACTTTAGCAGCTGTGCTGTACACAGATACGGTCGGGCCTTCTCTGGCACCTTGTGTAGTCTCCTGTATTCAAGTAAGGTCATTCAAACCAGCACAGAAAATGACTACAGAGACAACCAATAAAAATCTTAATTTACAAGAGAAGACTAACAGACTTGTTTAACCTAGCAAATCAAAAGCTGAGAGGAGATCAAGTTACTTGCTATAAAAACAGTAGAGAGAACAGAATAGAGAAAAACTATTTTAGTTAGAGAATAATGTTGGCACAAGAATCCATGTGTATAAATTGGCTGTGAGTAATATTACAAAAAAAAAAAAAAAAGTTGAAAACATCCCTGGCAATTGGAGCAAAAAGATTTTGAAACAGGCTTCTACTCACAGTAGCAGGGTGCAAAACAGTGTTAAAACCAAGTCCTCCAGGAAGAGCTTGCATGCTCTGATGGTTATGAGGAGACTGGTCTAGGGGGCCCAGGGAGCTTCCACTACTCCTGTTTCCAGAGGAAAGAGAGTGATAACATTTTCATGCCTATATAGTATTACTGCTTGATGCTTCTGTTGTACAAACAACAACTGAAGAAGCAGGCGCAGAGAAACGTCCAACTAATGAACACAAAGATGTCCTGGTTTCAGCTGGGATAGAGTTAATTTTTCTTCTTAATAGCTAGAATAGTGCTGTGGTTTGGATTCAGTAGGGGATTTGGTATGAGGAGAATGCTGATAATACACTGATGTTTTCAGGTGTTGCTAAGAGGTCAAGGACTTTTCAACTCGCCATGTCCTGCCAGTGCACAGGTGGACAAGAAGCCGGGAGGGAGCACGGCCAGAGGACCAGACCCAAAATGGCCAATGGAATATTCCATATCCTACAGCATCATGCTCCGCGTATAGAGGAGGGTCAGCTGGGAAGGAAGGGGCTCTCACTTGTTTCCAGGATTGTGGGTTTGGTATCTTGTTTTTTTGGGGATTGCTAGACAGGAACAGGCTGGGTATTTGTCAGCTGGTGGTGAGCAGTCGCACAGTGCATTACCTGTTTGTACTTTCTTCTATTATTGTTTTATTTTATTTCAATTATTAAACTGTTACTATCTCAACCTACAAGTCTCCCTACCTTTACCCCTCCAATTCCCTTCCTCACCTCCCCGGGGTGAGCGTGCAGCTGCATGGTGTTTGGCTGCCTGCTGGGCTTAAACAGTCCTTAAAGAGCAAAATTATGGTAGGTATCTAGCTTATTTCTGAAAGATGACAACTAGTAGGACAAAATCAATGGATTCTGAAATCTTCAAATCCATAAGGCCTTTTTTAAAACCCAAACAAATACCACACTATATTCACAGTCTTTTGGGCACAGAAGGATGCATAATGGGATTTTCAAATGCATGCAAGACAAGATGTTTAATCAGCATTCACTTCAACAGGATCTAAATCCTTCACCTGGATAACTTTCAGTATGTTATGACATATCTATCTGTATCCTAGATAAACGAGATATCTTTAAAATTTGGTCTATGGTGCTGGCACAATAAAACCAATAATTACAATTAATACCTTATTCAATAAGCCAGAATTCTATTTTGATATATATTGGACATGTCAAAATTATACTTTGACATAGTTATTTTCATCCTTGCAGTTCAACATGTTAAGGTTATTTTTCATTAGCTAAATGTAAGCATTTTTAAAAAGGAAAACATTCAAACAAATTCTCATTTCCAAATGCAGCTTTACATGGTCTCCAAGTAAAACCTTCAGTTAGCAAATGCTTATATTAATAAAATATCATCACACAGAATCTGAACAACATGATATAATAAGCAATTGTATAAAGGCATAATTGATTAAATAAGCATGTAGTGTAGTCTACACTGCAAAGGTATCTTTTCTTCTGCAAACAGGCTTTCTCTTTGCAAATTAACCTGTCATAATGATTAACTAAACAGTCAATGGAGAACACAGATCTAGAAAAGTAAATATGGGACAGAAATGGAAAACTACTTAAA